CCACTTCATCAAAAATTTCCTGACCGATCGCTCTTTCAGAGTCGCAGTTGGCAACACGAGGTCCCAGCTTTTCAGAGAAGAGACGGGCGTCCCTCAAGGTTCAGTTATCGCCGTTACCCTCTTCCTTGTGGCCATGAACGGAGTTTTCGGAGGACTGCCGAAAAATGTTTACATTTTCGTGTATGCAGACGATGTACTTATCGTAACTACCGGCCCAACAGCAGCACGCAACAGGATCAAGGCCCAGGCAGCAGTCTCCGCTGTATCCAGGTGGGCCAGCGCGGTAGGTTTCCAGCTTTCGGCCACGAAAAGCGTCAGGTGCCACGTGTGTCCACCCCGGCACCATGTGAGCGGGCCACCTATTAAAGTTCAAAGCCAGCCCATACCACTGAAGAAGACGGTCCGTATTCTGGGGGTACTTGTTGACCGGTCCCTCAACTTCGAGCAGCACTTTAAGGCGATCAAGAACAACTGCCCCAGTAGGATCAACTTGATCCACACTATCTCTCACCCCCACCGGTCTAACAATCGTGACACTCGTTTCCGGGTTGCAAGAGCCGTCATCGATAGTCGCCTACTGTACGGTCTTGAGATGACGTGCAACGCCACCGAAAAGCTCGTGCAGATACTAGCACCAACTTTTAACACCTACGTTCGGATTGTCTCCGGTCTTCTTCCGTCAACGCCCGCCGATGCCGCATGCATCGAAGCGGGTATTCTGCCCTTCCGCCATCGTATAACCACAGCAATTGCAACGAAAGCCGCTGCCTTTACCGCAATGACCTCCGGAAATGACAGGATCTTTCTCCTCGATGAGGGGAACAGACTCCTCCGCATGACTGCCAATTCGGAGCTCCCCCCAGTGGCCAAGGTCCACTGGTACGGAGACAAAAGTTGGCACATACCTCCACCAAAAATCGATAGTCGGATAAAAAGCAGGTTCAAGGCTGGATATAACTCTGCAGCGCTGAAGAGAATAATAGCCGAACTGCTAGGCTCGGACTATCCAACCCATGCCCACATATACACAGACGGATCGCTTTCCCGAGCCGGGGTCGGAATTGGAGTAGCCGGAATTTCAGCACCGATGAGTAGCAGCCTACCACCACAATGCTCGGTTTTCTCCGCCGAAGCTGCGGCCATCTTTGTTGCCGTTACAACACCCTCGGACCGGCCCATACTGGTGCTATCCGATTCGTACAGCGTGATACAAGCCCTTACATCGGAGACCATGACTAACCCCTGGATACAGGGTATTGTGGAGGCCACACCTCCCAACACGGTGTTTTCCTGGATCCCTGGGCACTGCGGTATCACAGGCAACAGCGAAGCCGACAGCCTGGCAGGGTCTGGACCAGCTGGCCCCCGTTACACCGACGAAGTGCCACTACAGGACATAAAGCGATGGATAGTCAGCAAAATGTGGGAAGCCTGGGAAGCAGAGTGGTGCCAATCCCAATCCCTCTTCATCCGAAGCATCAAAGGAACGACGAGCAAGTGGACGGATATGTCGAAACTACGGGACCAGAAGGTGGTTTCTCGTCTTAGGACAGGCCATACAAGGATCTCACATAGTTTTGGTGGGACGCAGTTCCACAGAACGTGCTTCGTTTGCGGAACCACTGCATCGGTGGAACACATCCTATGCCTGTGTCCGCAATACCAGCAACTAAGGGAGCAGTACGCACTTCCCAACAGCATTAGGGACATACTGGGCGACGAACCTTCCACTTCCAGCGACAGTTATTTATTTCCTCAAGGACGCAGGGTTATACAACAACATTTAGGTCCTTTTAACTTTCTTTTGGCTGACGGTACATCTCTACCGGACGGGGGATTACCCCTCGTACGGTGGAGCTCCGATCTCTTTCAAAACCCTACCTAACTTTGATATACCAGATTGTTTTTTTCTTTCTTCTCGTTGCCTATATTGTTAGTATTTTTACTGGAATCTGTTTTAATTGCTCCTATTTGGGTACATGTGAATTGTAAGCCCACTCCGTAACAAAATTTGCTGGTGGAACCCCCCTCTGGGGCCTCCCATTTTATAGAGATGAACTAGCCAACGGCTAAAAATCTCTCTAATAAAGTTAAAAAAAAATTCTTCTTGTTCCTGTTGGGTCGCTTTCTAGAACCTTTTTCACCGGGTCGTCATGCGGCATTCTTACAACCTAGTCGCCCAATTTTTTGCAATGTGGACGATGGATGGTTCTCCCAGCAGCTGGTGCAATTCGTGGTTCATTCGCCTCCTCTACGTTCCGTCATCCATCTGCACTCCACCGTAGATGGTACGCAACACCTTCCGTTCGAAAACACCAAGGGCACGTTGGTCCTCCACGAGCATAGTCCAGGTCTTGTGGGCGTAGAGGACCACCGGTCTAATCAGCGTCTTGTAGACAGTCAACGTCGTGCGGTGGTGAATTTTATTTGATTGGAGCGTCCTCCGGAGTCCAAAGTAGGCACGATTCCCTGCCATAATTCGTCTTTGAATTTCTCTGCTGGTATCATTTTCGGAGGTCACCAGTGAGCCCAAATACACGAACTCATCGACCACCTCGATTTCGTCACCGTAAATCTGAACTCGGGGTGGGAGGCTAACATTGTCTTCCCTAGAACCTCTTCCTTTTATGTATTTTGTCTTTGATGCATTGATGGCAAGTCCAATCCGCCTAGCTTCAGCCTTCAGTCTGATGTACGTTTCTGCTATCGGCTCAAAGTTCCGTGCCATGATGTCAATGTCATCGGCGAAGCCAAGAAGCTGGATGGACTTCCTGAAGATCGTGCCACTCGTGTCTATCCCAGCTCTTCTGATCACACCTTTTAACGCGATGTTGAATAGCAGACACGAAAGTCCATCACCTTGCACCCCCGTCGAGATTAAAAGGGACTCGAGAGTGTCTCGAGAGAGTACTCGAACAACGCACATTACTCGATCCATCTTCGCTTTTACCAATCGCGTCAGTTCATCCGGAAATCCGTACTCGTGCATAATCTGCCATAGCTGATCGGGAAAATCAAAGGTGACACGCATAAATGGGAGGACCTTCCCATTCTAAAAGACACAATACCAACGCACTGGCCATGCGCGTTTCTCACAGTAGGAACTTCAGAACACTGTGTGAGACTTGCCAAACGCAACTTTCCGTTGAACACACTATCATCGAAGGCCCGGCAAACTAGTTCCATTGGGAGCTCCACGGTATCCCCAACAGCATTAGGAACGCCTTTAAAAATGACAAATCACATCGGACTTTCGGATTTTTTCAAAAACGAATTTTTTCATAAAATGCATAACTTTTGTATCACTTTGTGATATCACCCAGTGATACAAAAGTTATGCATTTTATGAAACAAATCGTTTTTGAAAAAATCGATTTTTTTTGACTACTCTAACGTAGAAATGGTCACCCTAATGACAAAATAAGAAAATTATGAGTCTATTATGTTGCGATAAGGAGCTATCTTCTTTTATTTTAGAACTAACCTGATGCTAAACTTACCTGAACTTTTTCGGACTTCATAAAGATTCGTCAATTTTCCTAACGATCAACGAAAACTTTTCTGAACTTTTAACAACTCGATTTCGGAGATTAAAGTATCAAATGAAAGGTTTATAAAAAATATATATAATGATGTTAAAAATAGGGATTTTGTTTGAAACACATTGGTTGTATTTGTTTTTCATGGTTTGTAGGCAGAGGGCGCAAAATGTTTTTAATTTTTTTCTCTAAAATTTAGGCTTTTTTTCACAACAGATCAAAAACCGATAATGGTTTTTTTTTTTCGTAATTAAGTTATATTTTTTTGGGTCCAGTGGTTCAAAAGTTTTGAATTTTTGAAAAAAGGCATTTTTGAAAAACAACGATTTTTGAGCACCCTATTATAAAAATCGTCACCCTAATGACAAAATAAAAACTACGATTCTAATATTTTTCGATAAGGCTCAAAACTACAAATTTTTACGAAATTCTTAGAACCCAACAATAGTTTCTGTTCTCAAAGCCATTGCTTCTAAGATTCCCGAACCAATTTATTTCGCCCTCGTGAAAAATCACAAATTGAAATGTATGCCTGACAGCCACGAATCAACCGCTGATCTGGCCCCTCACAAGCTATGAATATCAAATCCAAAATCTTCCCCATCACAATTTTCCTTATCTTCTTTGATTGATGACTTTCTGACACCTTGTCTCCCTGAGCACGCCTTATCACATCGCTACGAAAATCGCTTACCACTCCGAAAATGAAAGGCTAACGATTACCGTCCAATAAATGACGGCAAGTTCTGTTTCTCTCCCGGGACACGCATCCACCGCCGTGTGCCATCTCGCATTTGTATGCAAATTGTTCCACCGAAACACTCGAGTAGGCGGAAACCATCCATCCCCGTCCGTCCATCGATCATACTCCAATTTCACCGGCAAAGCGTCCAACTCCTCGTTAGCATCAATCCACCAACCCAGAACAGAAGAGGTTAATTGTAAATCTTTTCAAATCGACCTAACTGATATTCTTATCCCTATACAACATTCAATCGTCGTCAAAGAAGCAAGCATAGGAACTGCCTTTTCTTGATCCCGACTTTCCCACCCTGCTGCTGCTGCTGCTGGTTGAATGTTCCCGCATTTTTCGCTGCCGCAGATCTTTCTCGCTTGATGCCGTGGGGGAATTTGTAAAATCCGACCCGACAGGGAATCGATTCTGATTGACAGCTCGTAAAAATCGATAACCAGCTTCATTCTCTCGACTGAATAATGCCAGAACCATTCATAAATCAATCGTATAAGTTTGTGTGACATTTAGATGTAATTGAATCCTTCCAATCTGATTGAGCACCGAGAAAGATTACGTAACATTGGCGAGATCAACGGCTGATCGCGCGCTTCAACAGCTCCGTAGCTGATAAGGTTCCATTGAACCTCAGCCCGAGGCGGGCAGCGAAATCGCAAACTATAAAAGTCCACTGCTCGCTCGTTCCAAAACAAAGTTTCATTTGCGACCTTCAGCGAACAACACACTCAATCAGGATGATTCGCTTCATCTTGATTCTGGTGGCCTCGAGCCAGATCGTTCTCGCCCAATACTACGGTTCTTTCTCGAACTCCCCGCAGTACCGTTCGACCGCCGGGATCGCCTCCCAGATCAAGAACCTGACCAGAACCTGGGTCGCCGGAAACAACACCCTTCCTCCAGCAGCCTACAAAACTGGTGTGAACTACGACAAATTGGCCCAAACCCGTCTGGCACCGGCCATTCTCGTCGATCCGGAGGATCTTGAGCTGCCGGGAACGTTCGACGCCAGACAGAAATGGCCGCAGTGTAAGAGTTTGAACACTATCCGTAACCAGGGCTGCTGTGGATCTTGTTGGGCCATCTCGGCTGCCTCGGCCATGTCCGATCGTTACTGCACCGTATCCAAAGGCAAGGGAGAATTCACGTTCGCAACGACCGATATGTTGGCTTGCTGTCACGCGTGTGGAGATGGCTGCAAGGGAGGCCAACTGGGACCGGCCTGGCAATACTGGGTCGAAAAGGGTGTATCCTCGGGAGGACCATTCAACTCCAAGCAGGGTTGCCATCCGTACCCGATCGATATTTGCGATCCTTCCGGTGAGGAAGCTGACACTCCCAAGTGTTCCAAGAAGTGCCAGAAGGGCTACAACGTAACGAACGTTTGGGAAGATCGCCGCTACGGACGGGTTGCTTACTCCATCCCAGCCGACGAGCAGAAGATCATGGAGGAAATCTACATCAACGGACCGGTTCAGGCTGCGTTCGTTGTCTTCGAGGACTTCCACGCGTACAAGAGCGGTGTCTATCGGCACGTATGGGGACACGTGGTCGGAGGACATGCCGTCAAGCTGATCGGATGGGGCGAGGAGAACAACGTCAAGTTCTGGCTGGCAGCCAACTCCTGGGGCGAGGAATGGGGCCTTAATGGATTCTTCAAGATCGCACGAGGCGAAAACCAGTGCGGCATCGAGCAGAACGTCCACGCTGGCCTGCCGAGCTACCAGAAGCACCTGGAGTATGAAGGGATCTTTTTCTGATTAAAGATTTTTGAGATGTAAGAATCTGAAAAAGGTTCAACGAATGCTAATAAATGAGCTGTAAGGTTTTGCTCTCATGGATTGAGAGATAAAATTCTTCCGTAGATGCTTGTAATTATTTTTGAAAGATCGTCACAATAGCTGGTATTGATACTTGCTAAAATTTACAACCAACTTATTTTGTAATGATATCAAGAAGAAATCGTTACAAATCTGTATGTTCCCTAGAAATCCGGATTCCTTTGGAATTTCTTCTATCGTTCATGGGAATGAATTCTATCTTAAATTCTAGTGAAATATTTTTTTGTTTTCCCTAGAATTAATTCTACAATTCCTATTGGAACGTATTCAAGCCGGAAATCCTCAGAAATTTTTCTTATTGCCGCGCAATCTCGTGTCAGGGCGATGATAAATCTTTTCTTTTTTTTTTATCCAGTTTGTTTATTTGGAAGGCTCAGTTGCGTAGACTTTACGGAGCCGATAGTTCATTGTTCATTTTCTGTAACAAAATTCACTTATGTCTATGTCTAGTAGGAGATGGGCCGAATACTCACGGCTGGTCCGAGGTTAGAGAGGTACATTGTCGAAGGATAGGATCAATGGAGAGCTTGAGGGTGCGGTTTCATTGTCTAATCAGCGCGTTGTCGCCAGTATGAACGGTAGTGCGGTTCTAGCTTCGTCTGGAGTTCGACCGGCTACGGTGACCAGTGGTCGACGATCAGACGCATCGAGACGGGGGCACCAGACAAACAAAATTTATTAAAGAGAGACAAAAGACAAAGGAAAAAAAATCTTATAGGGTTAATGACGGCTTCGGCAATACCTTATTATATTCGTCAGGGGGTAAACAATGTCCTTGAGATCTCAATTTTGGCTTGTGGATATTGGCCACATTTGAGTGCTCTAGGACTTTGTTTACCCTCCTGACGATTATAGGTTGAGGTATTGCCGAAGCCGACATTTCCCCTACTAAACATTTGCAGAAACACATGATTCGAAAGATATTGCAGGTTCCCTACACGTCTCTGATAGGGATATAGGGTTGTCTTCCTTGGACCTCGAGGGTATTTAAAAGTCGCTCTCTGGCGGCAAATCTCCTCTTTGTACGCTTAAGACTGCAATTACTGGCGTAGAGCTACTAATCGACCTCGTGAGAAGAGCTACTAATCGACCTCGTGAGTTCGATGTCGCTACACGGGTCCCTGAAAACTTCCGAGTGGAAAGTTAGAAGGCGGCCCGTAACGTGGGTAGATCACCTTTTCGTGATACGTTACGGGATGAAAGATCTACCATCGATTCTTAGTCCTGACTACTTCAAACTAGGGGAACACAGAATTTTTCAGTAATCAAAGGAATACATCTTAGTGATAAGATGACAAGACTCGGCTTTGTCCACGGAGGAAATAAGGAAAAAATGAGTTAGTTAGCCTTCATCTATATGACTCCTAATCTTCTATTCGTTGTTCCCTAGGTTGAAGTGGTTAAGACTAGGTGTCATTCCTCAATTTTGTTGCTAAGGATTCTAATTTTGACTGACAAATGGGCGTGCCTTTGGAGGGTGTTCCAACACTCACCCTGATGTCGCCATGGAATCCATATCTGCTAAAGCCAATCAGGAGATTAACAGCGATCTTGCCGTGGCGAAGACGTCCCAAAAGGCAAGAATTTTGATTCCCTCTCTTTTGTGTCCTATAAAATTGGGCTCGACCCCTCGCTTAAAGGAAAAGCACTGGATCCATCAACATGGCCTGAGGGATTGCTGTTCCGGGAATTTGAGGTCTACGGATCTAAAACAAAATCTGGTTCCACTTAAAGTAAAGAAGCCTGTAACACCGTTGCTGCTGTTGCTTTTGTTATGGAAACGGAGTCTTTCAGTCCCTCGCTACAGGCTAGTACAGTTCCTTTGCATACAATTACGTACCTGATACTCGATACGTTTCTAGCAAAATGTCGTCACCAAACAATTCACCATCATCTAGTCATCGCCTATACGGTCATCAAAGATTGCACGTTAACACATGATGGAAGGCTCCAAGCCACCCGATACAGTCAAGCACCGATGCATTTCTGTTGACTATTCCTGCCATACAAGCTGTTCCGGTCCTGTTTTCGGGACTGGTGAAACGGTCTTCCAACTTGCTTACCAAGGCAAATACGATAATATTACCGCCTCTTCGTTTCCTGAAATCTGTCTCATTGACAGCGTGGCTTTCATGAATGGAATGATTCATACTATTCCACGCCTTGATGCTGGCCTCGTGCCTGCTGCTCAGCCGTACCGGTCATCGAACCAGTGCAAACAGTTATCAGCATTTGGGAAGTAAAGCCGTTGGTCCTCGGTTCATGAGTTGATGGGTCGATAGGTAGGATCCAGGTGTGGGAGCTGCCTTCCTGGCACGTCGGTAGCATTGGTGCTCAGCACGGAAAACAAGATCGACGGAAAAAACAAACCAAAGGAAAGTTATCAGCATTTCTTCCAGCCAGTGGACCCAATGCCACTGCCTGCGCATCCTTCCAGCCTTTCTACTCTGGAACTGATTTCGATGCCATTCCAGATTTTGCTCCAGTACGTGTTGATCGCTATTACAACTAATTTCATATTGATCTGACTCCGGAAAATTTCTCTCTAGAACAGCTCTGGATTATGTTGAAACTAGATCACTGTTCAGTTAGTATTGGTGTTGTTTACCTTCCACCTCATCCCAAGAATGATTTACTTAGCGTGAATAAAGGGTGATACGGTCAAAATTTGGTCAATATCAACTTGACGTATTTCTTTCAATTTTGCATTTAAAAAACCTGAACACCCCTCATTTTGAAGGTGTGTGTGTGTAGAATGTTGCTCCTATTTTGATTTTGGAATTCACTCTTCAGTTGTCAAAATGCCGTCCAAGCAAGAAGAGCAACGTATCAAAATTTTGCTCGCGCATCGCGAAAATCCGAGCTACTCGCACGCAAAGTTGGCAAAATCGCTAAAAGTTGCCAAATCAACCGTTACAAATGTAATTAAAGTGTTTGGGGAACGTTTGTCGACAGCCAGGAAGTCTGGATCGGGGGGAAATCGAAAACCGGAAGCCGCTGAGACGACAAAGAGAGTTGCCGGTAGTTTCAAGCGAAACCCTAACCTCTCTCTCCGAGATGCCGCAAATAAGCTGGGTGTATCGTCTACAACCGTGCATCGAGCCAAAAAACGAGCCGGACTATCGACTTACAAGAAGGTAGTGACTCCAAATCGCGATGATAAACAAAATACGACGGCCAAAGCGCGATCCCGGAGGCTGTACACGACGATGCTGACGAAGTTTGACTGCGTGGTAATGGACGACGAAACCTACGTCAAAGCCGACTACAAGCAGCTTCCGGGACAGGAGTTTTATACGGCAAAAGGAAGGGGAAAGGTAGCAGATGTTTTCAAGCACATGAAACTGTCAAAGTTCGCAAAGAAATATCTGGTTTGGCAAGCCATCTGTACCTGTGGCTTGAAAAGCAGCATTTTCATAGCTTCCGGGACTGTCAACCAAGAAATTTACGTGAAAGAGTGTTTGAATAAACGTCTGCTGCCTTTCCTGAAGAAACACGGTTGTTCCGTACTGTTTTGGCCGGATTTGGCATCTTGCCATTACGGTAAAAAGGCCATGGAGTGGTACGCCGCCAACAACGTGCAGGTGGTTCCCAAGTACAAGAACCCTCCCAACACGCCAGAGCTCCGCCCAATTGAGAAATACTGGGCTATTGTCAAGCGGAACCTAAAGAAGACCAAAAAAACTGCTAAGGGCGAGCAGCAGTTCAAGGCAAACTGGTTTTCTGCGGCGAAGAAGGTGGACAAGGTGGCTGTACAAAATCTGATGGCAGGGGTCAAGCGTAAGGCCCGGCAATTCGGATTTGGAAAAGCGGAAGCCTAACTGAATATTTTTCCTGAATTTTATACTAATTGAACTTAAAAAAGAAATTTAATTTGATTTTTTAAATAAACGATTTCACCGATTTACACGCGTTTTCCTTTGACCAAATTTTGACCGTATCACCCTTTAACCATATCGAGTCTATAGAAGCGATGCATTCACACCTTGGGTATAACCACAGGAGTGAAACTTCGGATCAGAAAGTGGCTCCACTTGTCATTTGCAAACACTAGCGCACCTAGCGGTAGAAGGCATCTTCTGCCTGGAGTTAAAAAAGGCAGTATGCTATGATAGTGTGAATGCCCATGTGGAACGCTACCACAACACATCGCTTGTGGAGCAGAAAAACGAACCACTTTTTGATTCACCGATTGGTTTGCACTTCCGTTTCTGTTCTGTGGTATAACGATCATGCTAGTTTGCTTGGCGATCACCCTTCCGTAGATATATCTGTTGTGTATCTCTGTTGCTTGAGCCCCGTTACTCGATGGCTTCAATTTGCATTGTCTGTCTCAAGTTTACTATATTTCTAATCAGAACATGCGAATTTTGGATAGGAAGAAGCTGTAGAACCCAAGGGGTAAGTCACTCAGCAGATTATGCCGCAATTAGATTCGGTACAGCTTGAGCACATCCATCGGCACACCTTTGGCATAATCTCGTAGGCAAAATGTGAGCACTGCTGGTCACTGAAGTTGTTCACAATATTACGTGCTGTTTGGCGGTATAATCAGGAACATCCTCTAAATAAATATACCAGAGGAACTCAGAACAGCAGTTCACATCTCGGCTTACTTTCAGATTTAAATCCGAAACGCCGCTAGACCGATTTATCCTTGCGATTTCAAACCAAAACATTCAAGGTGTCATAAATACCGGGTTGCCGGGATGGGTATTTTACAAACAATCGCAGCTTGCTCTATGACCGGCACAAGCGGCACACAAGCGGCACACTGAAAAAAGATGACCCACGATTGGTGTGCGGAGTGACCTACCCCTTGGTAGAGCCACTCTCTATTCTTGATGCAAATCATCCGGCTTTTGAAGTAACTATTATAGTGAATTTGTTTGTTATTCAGTTCCAACCTGGATCGGGTATCAGTGACAGTGGTTTAAAGAGCTGTTTGGCATC